AGAGCTTCAGGTATTGTTTTCCTAAGACAACCAATGCCCAAATGCTAATGAACATATTTCAGGATTAACATTAATTTTCTACTTTGCAACTACAGAATAATGGTATTGATATTGATAAAAAAAAGCTCACAATGCCTATATTAGATTCAGGAAAACCTCTAAGATTGTATTACATGTGTTACATAAGATGTAAAGTATATATTATTATTTTTAGGAGAAGAATTGTTCCTGTATGCTATTGTACTGCTCGGAGGACTTTTGGCTTGTTCTGTACTTGTGAACATCACTTTGATTTTACAAAGGAGAAAGCCAAAGCAACTTTGTGAAAATCACAAAGGTAAGTTTGCTGTGTGCAAACTGTAATATTGATACTAACGTATTTATGTAATAGCACACTACTAAAACTATGTAGATCAGGGCCTAATTTAGGAAGGTACTGGCCACATTACTAATAGAAATGACTAATTGGATGAATTCAATTTCATTTTGGGCTGGTTTCTACAATTTAACGTAATATTACTGTAGAAAACCCAAACCCACAGAGCTCCAGGCTATTGTACTGGTAAGCCGTTACAGAAATCTGGGCTAAGCGTATCACTCATGTCCAAGTCCATTGCTTGGAAAAGTGCAAGTCCACATCGTTACACAGACAGAATGATGATCTTTGCTTACTTGTTTTGCTTTTAAGGTCTTATATAAGATAGATAAGACATTGCGTGAGGTGCTGTGGCCCTCCTCTTCTAGTTCCCTTTAACTGAGAGGCTATCACTTTACCTCTCAAAGCCTCCCCCAATTTACTTCCTGCTATGAGGAGTTAACATCTAACTAGTTATTTACCTCTTCAGCACTTAGATCCTTAAATCTGCAAAGTATAAACCACCTCACAAGTCAGAGAATTTATCAGAGAGTATTCTCACAACCTGCATCTGAATGCCCCATCCTGCTTCCTTCTGTGGGTTGACCAGACTAAGTAACCAGGTCATAAATAGATGACATTCATTAAATATCTGCTCTTTCACCATCACAACTGTCTCTTGGAACTGATTCAGTTCCAAGAAGGGCACCTTTTAAGAAAAATTCACTTTTTGCATGTTTTTATACTTCCATTGGGTCTAATGGACCCAATGGAAGTCCATTAGACTTCCATTGGGTCTAAAGTGCTTCTAATAACAGGCCAAAAACAGTGCCTGCCTGCCTCAGTCCTTGTCTTAATGTTCCCTCTTTGAGGTCGCAAAGAACTGCCTTAGTTACAGTTCATGCATGATACATTTTAAATCATCATAGATTGCAGATATAAAAATCAAGATTAATTTGCAAGTCTGGTCTAACAAATAGGAAACAGTTTGATTTAATCATGGTTATACTGCGAGTTTGAATCTGTAAGAGGTAAACAACACTGTAAGAGAAAACACTATTGGTGCATATTTTAGCACTACTCAATCACTCAGAGGTCCAATACTTTTGTGGCTTGATTATGTTATTTCCTATAACATACATAGAAAAAGATTGATCTCACCCAATATCGACAGGGGTTTTATCTGATGATCAAAAGGATGATTACTGTAATTGATGTCTTTTTCCTTTAACAGAAGATACAACAGTCACGCCTCTTACTGAACTGGATGATGATCAACCATACAATGTGGTAAAATATTTTTTTATTTTCTATGAGCAAAGCTAGCAAAGAATACACATGTTGCCTACTGGCAACATCAGTTTTGTATTCAAATAAAAAAAGGCATAAAACACCACTTTGGACAGGAATAATTGCAAACAATGTATAAATGAAGGAGGGAAATGGTAATTTGGGCAATGTGAGATACTTGATTGCATAAAAATCCTGGAAAAAAGCAAATGAATTACAAACCATTTACAATACATGATGTTTTTTTTTTGGGAGATTTGTTTTGTATAAAATTGTTTGTGTAAAGAAAACAGGCTGTGACATATGCTAAAACACTGACACTGATGAAAATATAGCATCTACAGCAGCAGTTTATCACTTGTCTTAAGATTACTGCATTAAAAATGTCAGTCACTGCATTGTCAGATTAGACCAAAACCATTACTGTTTCTGTAAACTGGCTAAATAGACACTTTGGCCTTTTTTTAAATAATTGAAAACAATATATTTTGAATATGAGACTAAACTCTGATGTCTCACCTATTTCAGCAGGATGGTGAAGAGGATGGGATGAACTATGTGGCGCTTAATTTCTCCTCACGAAAACCTACAAGATGGAAGAGTAAGAGGGAGACATCGGACACCTCCACATATTCAAACATTAAACTGTCCATGAAAGGCAGCATCCATCAAAGGGATAATATAAAATGAACATATGTACAAAAATGTGACTTCTGTGTTGCTTATGATAATTGTAAATATTGATTTTGAGGGCTGATCAAATATTTTGTACAATGTTGTTGTGTGCTAGCACTTTGTGCAGCCTTAGCATGGAAAGCTTTTTCCAGACTTTTACAATAGAAATGTGTTTATATGTTGTCTATTGTTTTACTGAATTTATTTTGTGCTTGTTTGATGAAGAAGGAAGAAACTAGAGACCATGTTCGGTAATCCATTAACCTATTAGTGAGCATGTGTTTTTATGCATATACATTTTAAAAAGCACTATCTACTTTTAAAGATAGAAGAAAAAAAGAAATGGAAAATTAAATTTTATTGCAGTTCCTTATTTTGTGTGCTGCTAGGAAGTTGTAAGTTATTTGATGAAAAAAATAAATAAAACAACAACAACAAAATCCCCCAGATTTGTCTCATTATACACAGTAAAATTTAATTAAAGAAAAAAAGACATATCCAAATTGCTGTTTTAAGTTATTGTATTGTATATTATTCCCAATTTCTTTTGGTAGTCATACCTGAATTTATATGTATTGTTTTCTGGCACCATTGGCTTATCCTGTCCTTTGTTCATTAATGTTTTTCTGTCTTGTTTTTCCTGTCTGTATTTTGCTATTATAGAAAGAGTTACCAAGATTTTTACTTGTGGTTTGTTTGGTTCATGTTTTGTTATGGCATTCATGTGACTTATAAGGTTCTCCACTGTGGGGTGTTCATTATGAAATATCATTATTTTTTTCTGTTACATTAGACACTGTGTCATGGGGGAAGCAGATTATCCTGGTTGTTGTTTCATTTCAGAAATGGATAATCTCATTTACTATCAATAAGAACTGTTTTCTGAGCCACTTTAGGAGGAAAGTCTTTAGGTCTTGTCTCATTCTGCTCGCTGATGTTAGAAATTAAAGGAAGACCTTCTGTGTTTTTATATGTCAGGGTTCAGTTTGTGTGAAGGCAGCTGCCTTTTGATGATAAACCCAGTAAACATGAATATGTTTGCAAGTTGGGGAAAAAAGCAACATCTGCCCCTTGTTAGTTGCATTACAGCAGTGCACAGTGTTTTGTAATAAATCTGTACAAATAACCATGTCACCAGCACAGATTATTTTAAATAAAAATTTTCTCTTTATCTTTTGTGTAAAAACATTAACCAAGCATGTGGAAGATTTTGTTTTTGTCAGATACTGCGATCTATGCAAAGTGGAGCGTGCAATATTGTGATGACTTAAAGAATCTAAAGAAAAAACAAAGAAGATTTGATTTTTATCACTTTTGAGCAGACTCAAGTTGCAGTGAGTCTGTCTCAACAACCTGTGAACTATTCAGGTGACCTCTTTTTGTGCACCATTTTCCTCTCAGACATTGTTTAGTTAAAAAAAAAGTCTCAATGGTTTACAGAGACATTAATTTTGCCTGTAATAGTCCCTTGAGTTTATAGCTTCATGTTGCATGGGAATGGTTAGTTGAGTTACGTTAGTTTTCCTGCTGAAGTACTCCTGCAAAAACAGTGATAAAGGGTCTTTAGTATGGATGAAAACAGGTTGCTATAAGTTTTCATTATTGCAACCTGTATTAGCAGTCACACTCAAACAGATTGGCTTTTGTGGCTGAGAACAATTCAAATTGTTGGTAAAGCTTTTTTGGTTTCAACTATAAATCTTGAATGAAATGTGTAAAAATAACACATTTACTTAGGAAGTCTGTTAGGGACAGCCTTCAGCAAACTGAAGGATTTAACACTGAATAAACATGTCAAACCACCTTAAGGGAGAACAGTTTATTTTAAAATTCCCTTTTTGGTATGCTCTTAGCAGAGTGATGACTCAACTTTGAAATATACAATAAAAGTTTCCATCCAGTTGAAAAAAACATAAAGAGAAAGAGAGTTTTATCTTATTCAGCATAACGCTGTAAATAAATTAACATTATGGAGTAGAGTGAACATCTTCTGATTTCTGAAAAAGTCCTGAAACACTTAAATGAAACAATAAACATTGCTATTGGCCGATGTTAGTCATTTTTGAGCTGAAATGAACAACTGGTGTTTATTTCCATCTTAGTGCGATTTGTTTGTATTTTTAATGTCGTATTGCACGCATCACTCTAGTCAGTTAACTGGTCACCTGAAAACGATGAAAACGCAGACATCTTCATCAAAGACAGCCCTCCAGTTGCCCGGGACAGGATGTGAAAACGGGTCATGTCTGGGGAAAAGAGCACGTTTGGTCACTCTGATATAGGGACACATCAAATATTGTAGGTTAATGTCTAAACAAGATTTCATTCTTTTTTTTTTAAATGAGAAAATATTGCTCATCCTTGACAGTTGCAAAGAAATGCAAACATTTGCATAATTTTTATGTTTTTGTTTAAAGTAATTAAAGCCTACAAAGATAGGCAGTGATTGTTTCACAAAACCACAAAAACATGAAACCAAGTTTTTAGCTCCTCCTTGTAGTAATGTATGAAACGTTTTACTTTTATTGCAGATTAGATGAAAATGGGTCATTGTTTTACATATTTGTGGGGTGTGCACTCTTTATTTCAGCCAATCAGAGTGATTTCCATCTCATCAACGTTGACAACCTAAATCTTCTAACTTGGTTGAAAACCATTAGTTGTGCAAGACAGATGACAAAATGACAATGGCTGGAGGACTGGCTGCTTTCATTGTTCTAACCACAATGAGTGAGTTCAAAGAAGATAATTACTTAAATGTGTCAAATTTTTGTTGAGTTTTATACTATTACTTCTTAGTACTTCTTACTGTTGTTCTGTGATTTAATATGGCTGTTATTTCTTTGTTTTAGGTGTGATTCAAACCTTAAAGGTTCCTGGGAAGATCCCTCTGATGAAAGCTGAAATTGGTCAAACTGTGATTCTGACATGTAATACATTTGGCAGTGATAATGCGTTGCTTTACTGGTATAAGATGAATTACGGACATATGGTCCAAACAGTTGCTGGAGGCAGATTTGATAAAGTGGAGCTGGATCAGCACTTTCCAAACTCAAGTTTTCAAGTTCACCAAGTGGCAAAGACACATTTTCTCACCATAAAAAATGTCAGCAAAAAGGATGAAGCAACATATTTATGCCAGGCAGGATCAGCATACGAAATGAAATTTCTTAATGGCACAAATTTGTTTGTCAATGGTAAGATATATTTTTTAGGGTTTTTGCTGATTTTGGATTCATACCTAAATGATACAAGTTTTTAATTACTTTTTTTTTATAAAACTTTCTTTTTGATACTCAGATTCTCAAAATAAGAAGTCTTACCGTGTGAATCAAACTTCAGACATGAAGTCGATTTTGCTTGGAACCAGTGTGACTCTGCAGTGTTCACTGCACCCAGAGAAAAAGGAAAAAGGAAGCACGGACCAGTGTGCAGATGAACATGATGTGTTCTGGTTCAGAGCAAAATCAGAATCGAATCCAGGATTCATCTATGCTGATAAAACACGGTGTGGAGAACAAGCAGGAAGGAGCTGTGAATACCGTCTGCCTAAAACTATACAAAACTCCTCGGACGCTGGGACTTACTACTGTGCTGTGGTCACTTGTGGGGAGATCCTGTTTGGAGAAGGAACCAAAGTGGAGACAAGCAAGTTTTTAGGTACATCCTTATCTTTTTTCTTGCCTTTGCAATTAATTTACACATGCCTAACAAGTTTAGAAGTAAATGGCAAATGAATTGCTTTGTAGTCACTGTGATTGTGAACTACACAGATCATATGAAAAAATGCCACAGCATATGATTTATTAAATCCCTGTAGTGGATTTAGGAAAGTCACTAAAACAGTATTATATGTGTTACATTACATGTAATGTCTATGTTTTTATTTTTAGGAGAAGAATTGTTCCTGTATGCTATTGTACTGCTTGGAGCGTTTTTGGCTTGTTCTGTACTCGTGAACATCACTTTGATTTTCCAAAGAAGAAAGCCAAAACGACATTGTGAAAATCACAAAGGTAGGTTTGTTGTGTGTGTAATATTTACTCTAGATCCTTTAATTGCACATGTCTTAAGTTATATGCACTAGGGCCAGACTTCAGAAGATATTGGGCACCTCTCTCATAGAAATGACTAATTGGATGAACCCAATTAAATCTTGGGCATGTTTCAACAATTGAAATAAACAAAGTCCATTCAACATATTTTTTCTACGGAAACCCAAACCCTCAGAGCTCCAGGCTGTTGCCCTGGTAAGTCGTCCTAAAAGTCTCAGCTTAGCGTTCCAGTCACCTTCAAGTCCTTTTCATGTAAAGGTTTATTTCCACTATACAGACAGATTAATGAGCTTTGATTTCTCACGTACAAAGTAAGGTGAAAGGCAAATATAAGAATAGCAGAACACCTAATTGTCTTTTCACCACTTATAAAATATAAATAATCTCATAGTCAAAAGATTACTGCAACTAATGTATTATTCCTTTAACAGAGGACGCAACAGTCACTACTCTTACTGAGCTGGATGAGGATCAACCATGGAACGTGGTAAAAACATTTTATTTTTCTATGTGCAAAAGTAATAAAGAATCCACATGTTATGAGAAACAATAGTTTCCTCCATGCTTTTTATCCAGGAAAGTGAGATTGCTAAAGCAGAAAGTAAGAATTCAAAGTTAATAGTAGCATAGCTTCGTCAATGGACATGTTTTAGAAAAGAAACTCAGAACAGACAAACGGATCGGCAGAAACAGCTCAGTCAAGAATTTTCTTTTCTTCAAAGAAAGAGATATTGTTACATCAAGAAGCAGTTGGCAAGGCATACCTTCTATGAAAAGAAAACACAATTGACAGGAATAATTGCAGGAATAATTTTCCTTCTTGTAAATGAAGAAGGAAAAAATGGATGTGTGGAAAAACAATGACACTTGATTACATAAAAATCCTGAAAAAAATTGCAAATGAATTAGAACTTGTTTTATTTTGCTCAACATACGGTATCACTTGCCACATGAAACCAAAACCATTTCTATTTCAGTAAACTGCCTAAATAAAAACATGGGCATCTTTGGAACAATTGAAAACAGATTTATTTTATCTATTAAAAAAAGGATATACTTTCTATGACGAATTTAACACTAATGCCTCAACTACTTTAGCAGGATGGTGAAGAGGATGGGATGAACTATGTGGCGCTAAATTTCTCCTCACGAAAACCTACAATATGGAAGAGTAAGAGGGAGACATCGGACACCTGCACATATTCAAACATTAAACTGTCCATGAAAGGCAGCATCCATCAAAGGGATAATGTAAAATGAACATATGTACAAAAACATTTGACTTTTCTAAATCACAGATGTATCACAGTAATATTGCATATTAGCACTGCCAGATAAGTTAGGATAGACGGCTCTTTCCAGGCTTTTAAAATTTACATATGCTGTTATAATTTTTACATATTTGTTTTAAACTAAAGTCCTCTAAGTGTATGCATGTAAATGTGGTTTATTGTATATGTTTCAGATTTCTTTGTATAATTATATCTCAATTTACATCTGTTATTGTCTGGCAACGTTGGGTCTTTCTTCCACCTGAGTCTTCTCAATTCTTGAACACATTTTGTTGATTTATTTCTTTTTTTTTGTTTAATAAAGTTACAAACGTTTTGATAAGGAGCCAGAGGAGGACGTGCTGGTCTCAGCCTCCTGGCGGCGTTCAGTTTGTCACCTAATGCCGAGATCGACTCAAAACCTTCCGCGACCGATGTTTTGCACCGCTGCTCTAACAAAGTACAAACAGTTCAGAAACAATATGAAATGGGAAAAAAGCTATTTATTAGATGATTAAGTCGTGTTTTAGATTGCTCTTGAAAAACTAATCAGTCACGGCTGATTAGTGGGTGCACTCACGGCTGCACAGAGAACCCATTGATTTTTACAGCAGACAGCCGCTCCTCTCTCTTGCAGGTACTGCGTACCCCGCTAAATCTTTTAGGGGTACTCAGTACCCGACCGTACCCGCCTACTTTCACCCCTGGGATTAAGTAAATAAAATAAAGGGTAAAATCAAAAACCTTGTAATCACCGGAATGTTTTTTTCATCTGTTTATAATATTTGTTATACATTTGATTGATACAGTTAACGTTATTCAAATCAACATACTTTTTGTACAAAATGTACAGTGATTTACTTAAATCATGAATAGTAAACCCAACATAGCAAGATCATTGTTAAGACAGAACAAAACGCGATAAAAAATTGGTTGCTGAAACAAATTCACGAAAAGACTTGTCTCAGTCTTTCAATTTGGCTCTGAACAGTGGAGACCCAGGGGCAGGTACACTGTATCTCTAAATGTACTGGGTCAACAATCCCAATCATTCAATTCAGATAATACAACCATTTCCATCACCAGGATAGTAAAAATTCAACACCTAGGCATGCAGGTTGTTTTTAAAACCATTTGTGAAAGAATAAGTTGCTCTAAAGACATTACAATGAACTCTAGCATGGTGCTGTGATAGGATACTCCCTGTGCAGTAAGCATAGTCCAGATATCTCCTCACCAGTGGAAGCAGTGGGAATGACAGGAGCTCATCAAGAGGTAGGCTACTTAAAACAACAGAACAGTCCAGCAGATGCTAAGACACAGGGGCTGCCAGCTGTCCGCAGAGACAATGACTGCAGACGTCCAAACTTAAAGTGGCCTTCAGATAATATCATGGACAGTGATAGAGAGCTTCAAGGAGACTGAGCAGCCTTACATCACCGAGTTCAATGGAAAACAACCAATGCAGTTGTGTAAAGTACTTGAGAAGTGCTGAAACTTTTGCCAGAGGGCAGCAGGGAGAACAGACCATGGCGAAGGTGGAAGGGGTCTTTTGTGATTTCCTGATCCCTGGTCAGGCAGCGACTGCGAGCGTTGTGAAGGATGGAAGGAGGCAGTCGTGATGACTCTGTCAGCTGTCCTCACCACTCTCCCTGTACATTCCCAGTCAGAGGTGTTACACGGCCAAATCAGACAGAGATGATGCTGGTCAGTGTGCTCTGTATTGTCCCTCTGTAGAAAGTGGTAAGAATGGGAGAGAGGAAGTGTGTTCTTCTCATGAGACTTAAGAAGTGCAGACTTCGCTGTGCTCTCTTCACCAGACCAAAGGTTTGAAGGGACCAGATAAAAGTGTCTGTGATCTGTGTCATCAAGAAGTTTATGTTGCTGATTTTTCCTGAAATTAGCAACAATTTCTTTTGTTTTGTCGACATACAGGATATGTCTATATGTCTATATGAAGACATATGCTCACCCTTTCCAGCAATTCAATATTTTTCAAAATTTTTTCAAAAGTGAAATCCAGTTAAGTCTCACCCTGCTTTACTTTGCGACTAGATGCTTTGATTATATGACCTTTTATTTTTGCTCTAACATTGAGTTGTCAGAACTGGAGAATTCAGCTTCTCACTGTGTGAATACCTGAACATCTATGATAAAGCTCAAGTTGGTCCCCTGTATGTCTTAATATTACTTAAGAACCTGTTGGTGGCGCTATCTGAAAATCTACAAGTTCATCAAACATGTTGTTATTAATTTTCTGACTACCAAGGACATGTATGTCAAGTATTGTTACAAATTGCGTTTGTACATGACTAATTGAAGGATTATATTCAGGTCAGAGAAAAATATGACTATTAGCCACAAATATGATAACTGCAAAAAAAGCGGGAAGCAATATATTTTTTCCAGGACAGAAGCTCATTGTGGTAGGAAGAATGAGAAAACCAATCAGATGCACTTGAGTGTCTGGATCGCCACACCCCCTCCTGTTACTAAAGCACCAAGTGTCTTTATGAGGACAGTGTCAGCATGACTCTGTTATGGGTCACAGTCTTCCTTCTTCATCAAGGATGTAAGTACTTTTAAACTAAAATGTGGATTTTTCTCAGCTTAGTGTTTGCATTTTGTATGTTTTTTTTCACCCTCACGATTGTTTTTATTTTTAACCCAGATGCTTTGGTTCCGGTGGTCACCGTTCAGCTTGGTGAACCTGTAACTTTTACTTGTGATGTTATGAATAAATTTCAGAGCACCACTTGGCTTCAGTGGTACAAACAAAGTGCTGGAGGTACTCTGAAATTAATTACGATGCAGCGAAAAAACGTCGATCCCACTTTTGGACCAGAATTCCCAGCTTCAAGATTCAGTACAACAAATGATGGAATAACAAGCAACCTAACAATTCTGGGGACAGTTCAACAAGATGAGGGGATGTATTACTGTGCCCTTATAGACTGGACAGAATCTATTTGGAAGGGGACTCATCTGATAGTAAAAGGTAATAGCAAGATCTCAGTATTGCTATGTTTAGAAATCTTTGTTCTCACTACAGAAAGGAAAATAAAAAAAGGAAATCACAAAATATAAACAACAGTTGCACTATATACATATATTGCAGTGCTATGTGATGTGTGTGTGTGTTAAATACGTTTCTAGATGATAGTTAACATTTATCTTAGGCAGCTTTTGAACATGATTTAAGAAATTTTACCACTGTAAAGTCTGATGGTTTGACAGCACATGTAATTCATGAGCTTTGGTGCCTCTCTTTTTTAAAAATATTTTTTCCACTGCTCACTAGATAAAAGCAAAAGAAAACATTCTTTGCAAATCAGCATATATGTAAATATGTGAATAAATATTTCATGCATTTCAGCTACAGAGCTGTTTTACGATTATCATTATTTTAAATAGAAGCCAACAAGCAACCTTCCAGAAATACTCAACATATCTGCTGGAGCACATTTCTTAAGTGTTTTTTCATCTCTAAATTGTCTCCTAATTTCAAAAGGTTTAAAGAGCTGCTTTCAAAGTTGAGTGATTTTTTTCAAATGCAACCAGATTACATTATTTCTGACTTGAAATCACAATGATATGCACTACATGTTTGTAAGAATTTATTAAATTAATTTTTTTTAAAGTGGTGTGCATTGAATTTTTCAAAATTAAAATAATTATTGTCAAACTAGAGGTCTTACTCTTTAAAGAAAACATTATTTTTATTATAATAGGAAACTCAAAGAGGACATTGACCTACACAACGCTCGACTCAGAGACTCTGCAGTGTTCAGTTGTCTTGGAGTACTGGGACAGCTCCTGCTCAGGAGATCTCAGCGTGTTCTGGCTCAAATCTGGATCCAGCAAATCTTACCCAAATATCATATACACTGAAGGCAGAAGAGATGATAATTGTGAAAAAAGCCCTAATGCCCAGAGGAAATGTAATTTTCTCTTCCCCGGGAACATCAGCTCCTCTGACCTTGAGAATTACTACTGCGCTGTCGCCACATGTGGAGAAATTTTATTCGGAAATGAAATCAGAAAAGAAGAAGGTAGTATATATGTAACACGCAAAATTTGTAAATGGAGACATAAATATTTTCAAAATGCACACATTTATTTTTTTCTATCTTATCCAGGTCAAAGTTACAACATTTGGATCCTGCTGATGATAATAATCTGTTTGGGAATTTCTGTGATTGTAAATATAATTTTGATTTGCAACCAAATATTTGCGTGTAAAATATTTAAAGGTAAGTGTTATTTACAAAATTATATCCATTTATTCTCCTTGCTTCTTTAAAAATATACCAGAAAGTGAAAACCTTAATTCATGTAATGTATTTAAATATAAGCTATCTGAGATGCTACAAATGATAAGACATGTAACAGGCAAAATACATGTTGCTGTTTGTTCAGTGTGTGCAGAAAACCCCTCAGAACAACAAAAAGATGAGACTGTAAGTAAGAATTGTAAATCAAATCAGTGTTATTTGGTTCAAATTTCTATTTTTATAGCCTAGTGTTCAATATAATTGTACATGAAATGAATTTTTTTCTGCACAGCCTGATGAAGGACAGGATCTGAACTATTCTACGTTACGTTTCTCTGGCGGAAAAACATCAAGAGGAACGAAGAAGAAAGAGCTGAAGACTGAAGAACTTGTATATTCACAAGTCAAACGATCAGTTTGAATAGATATCAAGTTGCGCAATTGTGTTGTAATACATGAATACAGTGTTGTGGGAAATCATAAAGGAAAATTGGGCACACAAATAAACATAATAAAAAAGACTAAATCTGTACTTTGTCCTAAAATTCCCTTTTTTTAAATGTAACATTTTATGTTTATTTTTGCATAAATTTGTTATAATTATTAATACATGTTATATGTTAGAGGTTTTTGTTACTGGCCTTATGAAACACATAAAAACACATTTAGAGAGCTCAGCTGAAAATACATCTTAACAGAAAAACATGATCTTAAGCATTAAAACTACAATGCTGTAGAGTTGTATGCCAGCCATAATTTTGAAGCTCTTTCTGTCTCAGCTCCCAAATTTAAAACATAAACAATCTGTCTATTGATGACGTACTTTTAATTTATATGTCATGAAAACATTCCTTTGATTTCATGACCTTAAATATAACTATTATAATTGCTATCACTTTTAATAGAGCATAGGAAATAGGTCAAAAATGTTTGATGGCGAAGTTTCACACAATGCAGTTTTTCCTGAATATTCATGAGGATTTACTCTTATGGGTAAGCTTAGAAATAAACCAAGTTGCTGTCTGATAGCTTACTTACCGACTGATCGATTGAATTCATAGAACGCTTTTCTTGTCATACTCGTCACTCAAAGCCACATTCAACTAATTGCACTCATATTCATACATTCATATGCAGATTGGCAGACAAGTTGGGGTTAATTGCCTTGCAGAAGGCAGAAGCCGGAGTTGAACCCACAACCTTCAACTACTCTTACCACTGAGCCACAGCCACCCTCTCGCCACCTGCTTATTTGTGTCATTTTAAAACCCCAACTTTGTGGCATGAAGACACTCGCCATACCTTGACGTTCACAAACCCAATGCAACCACAGAATCGTCCGAATTACAACATTGTACTCATTTTCAAGAGAAGTACACACACCACATGAATGTCTCTGAAAAACAAAGTCATTCAAAGGCTAAATTTGATTAACTTCATTCAGCTTGCATGATGGTTATACCATGTAGTCTGTTTTTTTGTTGAAGAGAGAGGAAAGTCACATATAATGCAGATCTGTTGTTCACAGAAGTCATGCAATCATTCCATTTCATTCCACTTTCTTTACCCACTATTACAATTCAGGGTATGCCTGGTTATCAGATTTATTTTTCCCTGTGTAAGTTATAGTATAGGCTACACAATTTCATTTATTCCATTTTTTTCCAGTACTGAATGTTGGCAGGCTCAACATGACTTAAACTATGCTTCGGGTTATTAGTGGTGTTGGAAACTGAACATAGATGTTTTGCTGGCTTTTTTTTTTTTGTCTGAAACCTTTTCAGAAATGAGAATTGCATGAAGTATGACTGTTATCTTATTAGTTATTCTTAAACAGCGGTTTGTAAACAAAAACAACAAATCAGTAAATCTTATGGTAACAACCTGAATACCAGGTTGCTACCATACCAATACCAATAAATAGTGAGGATGAAGTTCAATCTAAGCATCAGATTGAGGAAGTAAGGATATTTAAGGAACTTTGAATGGTTGTTGATGCTAGATGGTCTGGTATGAGTATCTAATTACTGCTATTAAACTTGAATTTTCCCACACAACAATCTCTTAGATTTACAGAGAACAGTCCAAAAAAAAAAAAAAAGAAACAATCCAGCAAGCAGTAGTTGTGCAAATGAAAATCTTCTTTTCATACTAAAGGCCATAGGAGAATGGGCAGAATTAAGATGACAGAAAGACAGCAGCAGCTCAAAAAGCATCTATGTTTAGACACCAGGAGCACAGAATACCATCTCTAAACTACAACACACTGAACCTTGAAGCAGAAGTCTATGCCAGGATCCTCTCTTGGCAGCAAAGAACAGTAAATTTAGCATAAAGTCCAGAATCATTAATATTGAACAATAACAGATTAGAACAATTTTACTTGCGAAACAGCCAATGCAGTGTTTGGATCTGATGCTCTGGTATCTCTGAGAAGAGAGACATATGTGTGATAATATGCAGGGACCCGCATTGCTTTTGGATGTATGAAATTCATAAGTTAGGGTGATTGGGAACCGGCTTTACATGGTGTTGATCTGGTGTTTGTTGACTTTAAAGACAAACTGCAATCTGCAGCTGTCTAGAAACCTGGCTCTAAGTTACATTCAGAAATGCAAAACGTCAGTCAATATTAAAACCTTTACAATTAGAGATATTGGGGCATTATCAGAGAACCATCAAATGTTTTTTTTTAAAATAAATTTTCAGCACGGTTGCAAGAAATGTAAAATCAACAAACGAGAAGAAAAAGAAAAATAATAAAAATATTTGAAATAAATCAAACTTGAAACAAACCATATTCCTCCAGTGCTGCTACATACCAGAACTGTAACCTACCTAGAGTTGTGAATCAATGCTACAATAATTAAGTATTCATGAAGACAAATGACTAAACATGAAATCTGACTACTTAAAGGGGTTTCTCTGAAAAGTTGGAAAAGGAATATTGGGGTTTTCTTTAAATTATAAATATTTAATCTTAACATTTGGTCTCTTTCCCTCTGGTTGACAGGTAAACGCAAAGTTTATGCAAACAACTTACATTTTTGGAAAAGATATTAAGAATTTACAGCCTTCACAGACTGACAGTTTTTGCTACCCAGCTACAGTTGGAGACGACACACCTTGATTTTAGTCTGTGGTGTGGTTTGGCACCTCTAAGAGAAGGGCTGAGTCCCTCGACCTCAGATGTTGAACTTCCTGCTCCTGCACTCCACAGTTCAACACTCATTAGTGTATCTCCAGAGTGGAAATGGCTGTTTCCAGCTTAATATAGGCATTGGAGAACAATAAAACAACAAAACTAAATTTTAGCTAAGTTCACCCGACCTTGTTTGATCTGACCCAGCACAATGCCTTGTTTCAGTGTGCTGCAGTCTATTTCTCTGGTTAAGGAGTTTTAACCTTAAACAAAATATTACTTAAGTAGAAAAGTTTACATAATGTTCCTTATGCTGTATCATAGCATACCTTGGAATAGAAGATTACTTGTTCAATCTAATGTTATCTGAAAACTAATCAAATGTTTACATTTTTGCATACATGAGTATTTTCAAGGCCTGTATTTATCTGCTTATTACCACTACAAGAATGAAAAGTCATTTTCATTCAAAAGAATGAAAATGACAGAATTTTCTGGTTTGGTTTTATTAATCAATCTTCTAATTTTATGTGGATTTTAAGAAATCTTGCTACTTTGTTAGTCTGACCCTTCAGTCACAGAGTTGTTGCTTTTTTCCATCTTCAGCGTTCTGAATTTGAGTCAACATTGCTTTCGCTAAGGCCAAACTTTGAACACTTTTACAAGAAAAAGTGAGTGAGGCAGGAAATACAGTGATTCGTCTTCATCCGTGTGAAATTGCCCCACTTCCTTTAGTCTCTTAAGTATCACAGGAGTGTAAAGAGTTGTGTCAAGATGCTCCTGTTTTGGGTCACAATACATGTTCTTCTTCATCAAGGAAGTAAGTATCATTTATGGATTTTTATGGATTGTTGCAGTGGTGCTGTTACTGGGTGTAGATTTATTCAAAAATTCACCTTCTTTCTCTACAAACTTTATGACTTTCTTGATGGATTGATAATGTTAGCAGCTCTTATTTATTTTATATGCTAAATTCAGAATGTGAAGGTGTTTAACCTACAACATAAAATATAAAATGAAACACTGAAATAATTCTGACAATAAAAATTGCTAAAACATTTTTTAAGGAGATTTTATTAGCTTTCTGTGAGGAGGGAAGATCATTTCAGCCCCATTGTGGCAGGAAGTGCTTTTTGATTCTAAGAAAGCCAATCAGATGCCTTTGAAAGAGTGGATTACGAAACATCTCTCTTTCACTTAAATGTCAAATCTTTCAATGAAGACAGTGTGTGACTTTTTTATGGGCCACCCTGTTTTTCCTTCATAAAGGATGTAAGTGCTGCATGATCTGAAATGTCAAATTTTCTGTAATAACAACTTAGGCATTTACTTTTTAATATGAGTTTGTTCCTTTGACTTTTCTTATGCTAAACTTTATTCTTGCTTTTGTCTTTAAATGCAGATACCTTGGCTCCTGTTGTCACTGTTCAACTGGGCCAACCTGTGACTTTTACATGTGTTTTTAACATGTCTGTGGAGAGCATCGTTTTGCTTTACTGGTGCAAGCAAACTGCAGGAGATACTCTGAAATTAATTGTAATGAAACGTATCCATACAAACCCCACTTATGGACCAGGATTTACATCTGAAAATGTCAAAATAACATATAACAACAAAATGACCAACTTGACGATTCTGAAGACCGCCAAAGAAGATGAAGGAATGTATCACTGTGGTCTCCTGGATTGGCTCAGTTCTTCTTGGAATGGGTCTTATTTATTAATAACAGGTATTTTGTGTAATTCAACATATATGCAAAATAAAATTACAGTCATTTTATTTTGTAAAATTACTGCAATTTTAATAAAAAATAAACAAAATTTGTACTTCAAACTAATTTTGGGATACTTTGCCATGAATATATATGTAAGTATAGATCTCCATCTTATCCACCCATAATATCTCACTTTAATAGAAATATTACCATGTCCATAATCTTCAAGCAAAAAGGTAAAATGCAATAGCTTTAAAACGTTTTTGCAAAAGCTTGAATGAAGGAAAAATATAAACTCGACAATATTTTTTGGATATTAGGAATAACACGCTGCAGCTGTTTCTTCTTCTGATTTAATACCAATATATTTATTTATTTAGGAAGCAGTGAAACAACAACATCAAGCTACCGTGTTGTTCAGGAGCCAGCTGTGTTGGATCTACATGGTAAAGAAACCTCTGAGACTCTGCAGTGTTCACTCCTCTCTCAGACCGAGACAGATGCTTGTGCAGGAGATCCCAGTGTGTTCTGGTTCAGAACCGGATCAGACAAGAACTCTCCTGATCTCATCTACACTGACGGACAAATGCCTGAAAATTGTGAGAAGACGTCAAACACCCAGAACAAATGCAGATATAACTTCTCTAAGAACATCAGCTCCTCTGATGTTGGGACTTATTACTGTGCTGTGGCCACATGCAAAGAGATATTACTTGGAAATGGAACCAGAATTGAAAGCGGTATGAATTGTTACGCATAATGCTACTAAACAACATGTCTTTATTAGAGACAATGACATGTGTCTTTATTCCTTTGTTTTGTAGCTCGTTCCTCATCTTATGAAGTTATGCTGCTACTGGTGATCACAGGAATCTGCTTGATCATTTCCGTGATTCTGAATATCATTTTAATCTGTTGCCGAACTCAAAGAACACCATGCAAAAACTTTAGAGGTAAGTATTGATCAAATAAACAGAAATCTAACAATTACAATATTTTCAGAATCCAAATTACTTTTTTAACCATGTGTTTAGAAAGCTCCTCATCAAAGCACAATGACATGAACCAACCAGATGAAATGGTGAGTAAACACATCTATTTGTCTGCTTAGTTTGTAAAATTGAAATATAAAAACATCACTGGATATAACTAAATGTCTAAAATTTATATTTTGGTTTAAATTTTATGTTTCTACTCAGACACAAGATGGACATCATGTGACCTATGCTGCCTTGCATTTCTCCACAGAGATGATGGACAGAGAGCTGAAGACTGAAGAAAGTGTATATTCAAATGTCAGAGAATTGATTTAAATATAATCATGTTCAGTAAATGAGGAAGTTGTTTCCATTGAAAATTATGTCAGAATAAAAGTCCCTTCTGAGAAACAAGTACCACATTTCTGTATTAAAAATATTTTTATTGGTCTGGTGTAATATTCTAATATTAAATGTTTTGTTTTAATTAGTTGTATGTCAGAAAACATCATAATTAACAGAAGACAGCTTGTATATACAGTTTCAGTAATATTTTAAAGTATTAAAAGGTTTTATAATCTATACTCTAGACTCACATAGAGCACTTTTATTGTGATATATGTATTTACACAACTAATGACATTTTATGAAATGCGAAAATTAAAAAAATGTGAAAATACAATGTTGTCTTCATTTTATTCTAACATTTTAGATCAACAAACCTCCTGCTACAAGCTAACATATATTTTTTCCCAGTACCTGTATCCTTTATTCTGTTGAAGCAAACAGTGACAAAGATGCAAAATTTTGATAACTAAATACCAAAGGGAACTTACAGGTTATTACAAGGAGTACAAGACATGAAGCACACACAGCAAAATGAAGGAAGCAGAGCTTAATTAGGACAATGAGCTAAATTAGACACTAAATAGACCAGTGTTTACACTACAAAACAAAATGTAAAAGACGAGAAAAAAAAACAATATACACCAGTGATGTGCAGTCATCATGACAAGTACAATCAACATTAATAATCATGATAGTAATAATAGTAACTATAAATCAATTTGTCTACTTTGTCTGCTTCTTTACTAAATCTTCTGCTTTCTGATTCACTATGGTGTCTTATTGAACTGTCTGGGCCACCGTAGTTCACACATTTTGTGTCAAAATATGTTAATCACTTGGACATAGACCCTATCTCCTCCCTGAATTGTGCAACAACTGGACAGCCAAGTATTAGAAATGTAGATTTTTATTCACAATTGTTTAATTTGTCCAATTTGTTTTTAGCCCCTGAATGAAGGGATTGTGTTTAAAAATGCTTTAGTCCCTCACATTTTTATGCAATCTTATAGTTCAACCTACTGAAAGGAGTATTTGAAGTGCAGTACAAAACAAATGTTTTGTTTAGAATTAATTGTGGTCATGTACAGAACCAAAGTTTGGAAAACTTTGTCTCTGTCCAAATACACTCCTGATCAAAATCTTAAGACCAGTCAAAAAAATTCTAAGAATTTGCATTTTGCACTATTGGATCTTAAGAAGGTTCTAAGAAGAGCTTCACAATGTTAAAGGAAAAAATCAGTGCAAGAGACAAGAACTTTTGAGCAGGGAATTTTCTGAAAACTGCATTTACACTGAAACAAGATTTTTTCAGCTGATCAAAAGTTTAAGACCATAGTCTTTAAAAGCCAAAAGCTGTGCAAAAATCTGGATTCCATGTCATTTTCTGTCAAGTCTTTACACTGTCAAGACCTCCTGGTGGCAAGAGCAAAAAAGCTCACCGACTTTGAACGTGGTAGGATTGTT